ATGAGCGTCATATTCTCCTTCTATTTGAGATGTGATGAGTTGAGAATCAGTGTAGATGATTATGTTTTATAATTCACAGTTGATGACAAGCTTTAATCCAATGACAAGTGCTTCATATTTGACAACATTATTGGTGGCTTGGAATTCTAAACTAAGTTCGTACTCCAAAATGTCTTTCTTTGGGGAGATGAGTAGTATTCCTGCACCAGCTCCTGAGTTTATGGATGCTCTGTCTGCATATAATGTCCACTGAGATGACCGTGGAAGAGAAGAAAGTGGTTCATTAGAGATAGGTTGTGTATATTCTAACACAAAGTCGGCCAACACCTGTGATTTGATGTTTGGACGTGGTAAATAATGGATATCAAATTCTCTCACAAATTCTCTCAATTTTACTCTCTCAATTTTACTGAACATTTAACTAATTTTTCTTATGCTTCTGGTTTTTGTAGGATAGCCTTCAGAGGAAGTTGCGTGTAGACGTCGATAGCGTGAGCCTGGAAGTACAGTCGAAGTCTCCTTGCTGGAATACCAGGGCAAGCGTAGTCTTATCTGTCATTGGATAATGACTTTCTGTATCAGAGATAATTTTGATAATGTAATATACTGGTTTCTCGACTGAGTTTTCTATTCTGACAAGAACAGAGCTTATTGCATGAGGTGAAATTGTCAAATAAAATATATAATATCTCTCCTTGGATGGGCTTTGAGAGAAGGGGCAGTAAAGCCAAATATGCCTTGAGTTGCTCGAAAGCAACTTGACAATAATTTGTCCATTGAAAACCAAAGTTTCGAGCACCTCTGAGTATCTTGAAGAATGACAGATACTTATCCTCAAAACGAGCTAAGAAGCGGGATAAAGCGGTTATACGACCATTCAAGCATTGTACCTCATTAATGTTTTTTGAAGGCATCATGTCCCTCAACGCCTTGATTTTTTTTTTAGGTTTGCTTCAATTTCACGATGGGTAACCATAAATCCCAAAAACTTCCCTGATGTTACTCTCAAAGCACATTTAGTCGGGTTAAGTCGTAAATTGTAATGACGAAAGAGTTGGAAACACTCCTCCAAATGAGAAGCGTGTTGGGATGATTCCTGGCTTTTTACTAACATGTCATCAACGTAAACCTCCATTGTATGCCCGAGAAGATTTTTGAAGACTTTGTCCATGAGGCGTTGATAAGTTGTACCAGCATTTTTTAATCCGAACGACATAACTTGATAACAATATAAACCCTTATTTGTTTGAAAAGAGGTGGCTTTCTCATAAATTTCGTTCATCTTTATTTGATTATACCCTGAGTATGCATCCATAAAGCTAAGCATCTAATGTCCGGAAGTTGCATCACAAGTTAATCTATGTGTGGGAGGGGAAAGCTATAATTCAGACATGTTTTATTGAGATCTGTATAATCGACACACATTCTCCATGAACCACTAGCTTTTTTCACCATGAAGACATTGGCCAGCCATGCAGGATGATGAACTTCCAGTATGAACTTTGCTTCAAAAAGCTTGTTTACTTGCTGTTCAATAGCTTGTAAGCGACCTAGGGCAAAATTACGCTTCTTCTGGAAGACAGGTTTAAAATTTAGATCTATGTTTAAAGAATGCATAATTATTTCAGGGTCAAACCCAGACATGTCAGTCGGGGTCCATGCAAAAATATCTTGGTTTCTTTAGAAGAGATTTACATATTCTAACATTTGTTCATCAGAGAGTAAGGAACAAAGTTGTACTGTTCTCGATGGGTGTTTATTAGAGAGTGGGACGTGAACCAAATCTTCCACGGGGGAAGCTCTTTGAGATGCATCTTCATCTTGGAGATCAAAATTTTCAAAGCTAATTGTCACTAATGGTTGTGGTTGAGCTTGACAGAGGTAGCATGATTGTGTTATCTGTTGATCTCCTCATACAATGTCGATCCCTGCTGGGGTTGGAAATTTGAGCTTCAAGTGTAACACAGATGTTACAATGCCAAAGATGGACTGCATAGGTCTCCCGAAGATGGCATTGTATGCTGATTCTAACTTGATAACAATGAATTGGACTGAGTGAGTTATCTGTCGAGGAAAATCTCCCATGATAATAGGGAGATTTATTGTTCCCTCGACCAGTACTGGTCGATTATCAAAATCGTATAATGGTCCAGATGCAAGTTGAAGTTTTTCTCTTGTCAGTCCCAAACTAAGGAAAGGGGAGCAAAATAAAACATTAACAGAGCTCCCATTACCGATCAAGATTTTTTTTACATTGTAGTAGGGTTCGTCAATTCCTGCGCTAATGCAAGAGGATCTTGGTGAGATACTCGGACTCCTTCTAAAATAGAATTATCAAAAGTGATAGGTTCAATGCATAATTTCTTCTGTGTTGGTTCACTAAGTGTAGTGATAAGAACTTGATTAGTCAGCAATGGACCTCTTGCAATTGTCTGAAATTCACCTACGACTGGGTGACCCCCATGTTGTTGCCCCCCAGCAGGAGCATTATCATTATCAGCTAGTTTGTTTTGAATAAATAGACCAAGATATCCCTGCTGAATCAACCTTTCAATTTCCTCCCTAAGGAGTTTACATGCTTCAGTGGTGTGGCCACGACTTCGATGAAAATGATAGTATTGTTCTTGATTTCCTATGTTAGGTTTTAAGGGGTGAGACCACTTAACAGTTTGCTCATCCTTGATGGCCATTAAGATGTTTGCATGTGACGTGTTGAGTGATGTATAATATTTTTTGTGTCAATATTTAGTTCGTTGACCCGCAGGTTGAAAGAGGAGGTCACAATTCTTTGATTGTTTAGATTTTCTCCGTTGCGAATATTGATTATTGTCTCTGGAGTTACCTTTGTGCTTTGCCCCAATTTTCTCAAATTGTTCCATATGTGCACTGCTAGTCTCGTCTGCAGTGATTTGAGCCTCAACATGGTGGACAAGATCGACATAAGAACGAACTGTCTCCCTTGCCAGTGATGAGTAGAAGGGTCTTGGGGTCCTAGGCGAAGCCCCCCAAGAAAAACCCCCTATGTAACTCTAGATCAACTTATGGAATTTGACGGGCTTCAGCAGAAAACCTATAACAGTAGTCTTTGAGCGACTCCCCTTCACTTTGACAAATTCCTGAGAGATGAGATGAAGCTTTAAGGATCCGTCGAATTGCTATGAACTGCTTCACAAATAGTTTGACAAGCTCGTTGAAGGTGTTTACAGTGCCCCCCGGTAGAGAGTAAAACCAGATTCGAGCTTGTCCCTTAAGAGTGGCTGGGATCACCTGACATAAAAGCACGTCAGAGGCACATTGAATGTGCATGATGGTTCGATAATGATCAATATGTTCATAGGGTCAGCTATCCCTTCATATGCGTCAATGTTCGGCAGGTTGAAGCCTGTTGGGATAGGGTGTTGGAGGACCTCATTCACTAAGGGAGAGGATTCAAGGATGTTAGGATGAGTGTGAAAGCAATATTTTTTTATTTAGGGGGAACTATTCTCAGACGAGGCGACGTAGTTCGTTGCGGATGACATCATCTGGAATAGTAACAAGACATGGTGGTGCTAGAGGAGATGCATGAGATGGATGAGTGAAATTTACAGATTCTAGGAGTTTAACATCACGTTATGGCAAGGGAATTGTTCCCTCTTGAGCAGGGGGACGGTGCGAGTTCCTTCGGGCAGTATGTTTCTCGTAGGTCGTGAATTTAATGGTAAACGAGTTTCAGTCTCGGTGTGGACAATGGTTGTTGGATCCCTCGTAGGAATTATATGATCTCCAGTTGAGACTCCTCCATTCTACGTATTCGTCCTTCCATAGAAGGACCCAAAACCCCATCGTTAGTTGGATAACGTCTTCCAGGGCGGGAAGATGAAGAAACATGTCGCCCTTGACTTTGTGACTGTTCCCTGGAATGATGGGAGTTAAAGCCAGCTACTCCGTTGTCCTGAATATTTTGCCTGGTGGCCATGTAGGAAATTGAGCAAGCACTTCAGTGGTGGGATTTAGAGTTTCCCACAGACGACACCAAACTGATGGGTGCTAGAAAATTCGTGGTGGTAAGTAACAAATTATCGTATTGACATTGTGCGAAAGTTCAACACACACATAAATGAAATAGAAAAAAACGGTGATGACTTCATATGTTTTTACGTGAAAAACCTGTTAAGGAAAAACCACGGGGCCTAGCTCAGTTTCGAAAATCCACTATTAATTGATGATTACAGAAATCCCTTGTCCCACAAACAGGAAAGAGTAACTATATTTTTCAGATTACAATGTCGACTGACGACGTTTAGTTGGTGGTGATTGATGACGGAAGGTGGAGGTTGACGACAATCAGCGGTGGTCGACGACGGAGGTCGGTGGTAGTCGTCGGCGATTTACTGCAATCAACGGCGGAGGTCAGCGGTAGTCGATGACGGAGGTCGGCAGTGGTCGACGCGGAGGTCGGCGGTGGTCGACGACGATTGGTGATGATGTTGAGCTGCTCTTTCTCCTCAGGACCTCATGCTCTCTCTCTAGACTTCCCCTCATGAGAGGGATGAAACGCTATTTATAATGTTTTGGGTGCAATTAATGCAGAAATATAAATCATTTTGATTGGACGGTCTGGAGAGCTTCCTTCGATCATATGACGTTTAATGAACATTTGAGTGTCTTAATGATGTCAAAATTGAGTGATCTTGGGCTCGTTGGATTTGTCTTGTCGAGCCGCTCGATTTGAGTATAAACTTTCCATATTTGACAGACGTTTGATTTTACAAATGTAATTGTGGTTTAATGACTTGATATGAGCTTAATTTGATTTGGATTACGCTAATTTTTATATTATTAGGTCTGTCTCATTGAACAGATCAATTTGACTATAAAATTATTGAAATCTAAGCTCTGAATGACTTTTTATTAAAAATTTAAATATTTCTTGTTTAAAAATATATCTCTTGGTGTGATTCATGTAGATCCGTGAAATCTTGTTGGCCGTGTAGAGATACGGAACCGAGGATGGTGGACCATGAAAAGCACAAAAATGCTCCGCCGGAAGAAACGGACCTCGCTGTTCGGAAACCCAAAGTCGTTGGCGAGGCGCGGTACAGGCGCCAGTTATTGGATAAACTCGATGGCTAGGGCTGCCATTCTTAAACCTCCCAACTGCTCTTTCGAAAACTCGTCATTAGCTTGCGTTGTTGTAGTCTCCGCGGCAAGCGGATGGCGGAGCGAGAGTGTGGGCGAGGAATTAGGAGGACATAAAGCTGGGAGGAGGATGGTGTTCCGGTGTGGAATGGAGGAAGACCGGAGCAAGAAGCCTGGTTTTCATTTGATTCCACCTGCAAAAATTGAGTTCATCTGAGATCCAGGGTAAGAATTTACCCGCATTGCTTGTTTTTTTAGCCTTTTATTCTTTGTTTTATTTAGAGCGGAATGTAGTTTTTGTTTGCACGGATCGGAAAATCATGAGTTGGATAGCATGGGAGCTGGAGCGTGGCTTTGCATTGGTTTGGACGGATGGATCAGCTCCGTAGAGCGGATTGATTAATTTTTCAATTGATTTGTGGTGTGCTTCTTCATTTGTTTAAGGCTTGATTGTATGCTCTGTTTTGGTTAGGGGAGCTTTTATAATCGCTGCATTTGCGTAGTTTGTTTGAGTAATACTGAATGGAGGCCACGCTGTGCTTGGAACTGGTTGCGGGGTCAATGATGTATTGCATGCTACGTCATTGGGATTTTATTATTTTGTTTTAGATTGAGCGTATGGCTGTGTTTTACATGAGAATTTCAAGTCTCTGTTTTTTTTTTATTTTGTATTTATTTTTCGCTGTAGTCTAGAAGGCAGTATATGTCTAAAATACAACACAAGCATGATATTCTCAGAAGAAAAAATTGTATACAAATAATAAGTAAAATAAGCAAAAAACAAAAGATAACTTTATTCAATGAAAAATTCATTAACAAATATAAAGAAAAAAAGGAAATTAACTGAAAAAAATTGAAATGATAATTTATAATAGCTACCCAAACCCAAATGCGAATAATATGATTAATATAAAGTTAAAAATATGAAAACTAAATCTAATGTTGAAATACTTGTTTTTGTGGCGACGGTCTTCCAAGTGATTGAATTGAACCTGCTATATAAAATTATCAACATGTGTGTTTAACAAATTAAACTCTTGCAAATAATTACTATTTACTAAAACATAAATGACAGAGTATTAGAGTATGTGGCACGAACAATGAAGAAACTAAACGATTACTATATGCATCTATATACCATAGGAAAAAATATCGTTAGAATTACCATCTGACCTTGATGCTCATCTGATGTCAAATATAATATGCTATAGCTTATGTTTTAGTAATGAATAAATTACATTTAATGACAATCAAATTTCCATATTATAACACAATCATTTTCAATTCAACCCAATCTCACTACTATATGACCTAACAGTCACTTAATTATTCAAATTCATTTTAGTTTATATTTGTATATATAGTTTTATCAGACACTGTGAAACCAAAAAGGTGAATGCAAACCAAGAAAACCCAAAAATTCTTGTATAATTGTCATTCTTTGAGCTCGTCGGGTCGACTAGCCAACAATCAACAGGTTTCTACCGACATTTACACCTATACATACAAATATGTAGTTGCAAATTCTCCAACAACTATTATATAATAATATGACAAAAATATGATTATACATGAATGAAATTAATCAAAATTAGCATGAATAATGGTTTTAGGAAGTAATTACTGCAAAATTAAATTGAATATGTAAAAATATGCACAATAACAAATCAAGAAAGACAGTCTTTTGCTGAACAATAGAAGATGTGTGCGTAACAATATAAATGATGTACAAATAAAAATAATAAACATCCTGTAAAATAAGTATGAATCCAATACCAACAACAAGGGTAACACTCTCATTAATAAATACATATATCCTTTAATAAACAACCGTTACTTGAGGGTGAAGGGTGCAAATTTTTCTAATTAAATGAGATTCAAGGAATGACCCTGACACAAAAGTTGGTTGCAAAACAATGGGAGCAGAAGTCTTACGGTGCGGGATTTTGTGATGTGTGGAATCAAGATGCCGCCTTCGCGAGACTAGCGAACCGCTTGGGTTTTTGCTCTGATGTAGTTTCAGGGGGAAAATTTATTGTGATTTTTATTTTTTTTCTATTTTCTAATTTCTAATTAGTGGCATTTCTATTATGAAACTATTTATGTATTTATTTTGCCGTTTTTGAGACATTTGTTTTATTCTCTATTTTTTACCTTAAGGAGCGTGCATCCTTTTTCTTTTGTAAGTGGTTTGTCTGTATTTTGTTCAGGAATAGGTGGTGAACCTTCTTATCATCCATACAAAATTGTTTCATTTTCTGTCCCATAATTTTTAGCCGGGATAGCGTCCAAACGTCGTCTACCCCTTCCAAACATCATCAACTGCCCATATTTTCATCCCCTTACTAGTCCTCCACTACATCTTCACAAAATCTACTTTCTAACACAATCTAGGAGTTTTAGAACCATATCAGTTGTCTAGTAGGTCTGACACTAAGATCCTAAACAAAATGCACTCAGGATTATTGACAAATAAACAATATAAGAAATTAAAATTAACCATTTATCTAAAATATTTATGATTTATCTGATCTAATTTATCTTATACTTAAGTAAAATAGTTAATATTTTTCTAAATGAATACTATTAATTATTGTGTGTTAAAAAATTTACAATGGTAGAGTGATAAATTAATGTCTAAATGTTGCACAAAGATTCAACACACACATAATAAATGGAGAAATAACAAGAGAATGTACTAAGATTTTTTACATGAAAGAACCCTTGAAGAGATAAGAATCATGGGCCTAGTCCAGTAAAAGTAATATAATATAAGTGTTAAATACAAAAATACACCATTTTCTCACAACTGAGAGAATATGATCTATACAAAATTGTTTCATTTTCTGTCCCATAATTTTTAGCCGGGATAGCGTCCAAACGTCGTCTACCCCTTCCAAACATCATCAACTGCCCATATTTTCATCCCCTTACTAGTCCTCCACTACATCTTCACAAAATCTACTTTCTAACACAATCTAGGAGTTTTAGAACCATATCAGTTGTCTAGTAGGTCTGACACTAAGATCCTAAACAAAATGCACTCAGGATTATTGACAAATAAACAATATAAGAAATTAAAATTAACCATTTATCTAAAATATTTATGATTTATCTGATCTAATTTATCTTATACTTAAGTAAAATAGTTAATATTTTTCTAAATGAATACTATTAATTATTGTGTGTTAAAAAATTTACAATGGTAGAGTGATAAATTAATGTCTAAATGTTGCACAAAGATTCAACACACACATAATAAATGGAGAAATAACAAGAGAATATACTAAGATTTTTTACATGAAAGAACCCTTGAAGAGATAAGAATCATGGGCCTAGTCCAGTAAAAGTAATATAATATAAGTGTTAAATACAAAAATACACCATTTTCTCACAACTGAGAGAATATGATTACAATTTTGCACCATTTACAACACTTATTCGTATGCAATGTATGAATCAGGAGTTCGAAAAGAATCACCCTATTTCGAATATGATAGTCGTAAGTAGAGGCAATCAAAAGTTATCGTTGAATTTTCAATACGACATTATATGTTATTACTTTATTTCAGATATGATGTTAGCAAGTAGCGGTTGCGATCGTCAGAGATAAGAGCGACTAGTGAGAGCGACCAAGAGGCATTGACGATGGTGGTTGACGGTTATGGAGGCTGAATATGTTGTTAGCAAGTAGAGGTTGTCGACAGTGGTGAGGAGGGGCGGTCGTCGGTGGTTGACGAAAACCGATGGTTGATGGTTGACGGTGACTGGAGGCTGGAAGTTATTACTGGGTCTGTGGTCTACAATAAGCTTTGAAATCCCTTCTCTTTTCCTATCCTCTTAAGTGAAGAGAGGAGTCTATTTTATAGCCACCATGAGAGAGATATTTTAGTACTTTGGCGAATAGCTTTTCTAAACACCTGATCAGAAGACCCATATAGATCCCCTTGATTATAGATTTTTATATTAATGCTTTGAGGGCTTTAATGATCTCAAAATTAAACGAGTTTAAACTTGTTGTATTCTTCTTATCGATGCACTAGATTTGATTGTATACGTCAAGTTTGGAGTTCATTTGACCTTTCAATTGACGATCTAAAACCCCTAAAAGTGCTTTAATTTTTTGATTTGAGCTTGATTGGATTAAGATCAAACCAATTTTGGTATCATCGAATTCGGCTTGTTGAAACGGTTAGTTTTACTATAACCTTGCTGAAATCATGACCTTGGATGACCTTGAATTTAAATACGGTTACTTGCTTATAGATGTCTCGAGATTTGCGCTATAAAATAAAAATTTCTTGATGGCACATCAATAATAATAGTACATAACTAAATAAGTGCATCCACCTCGACGTTCCCTAGCTAGAATCTTTAACATATCGACACTAACATGCTATCAATAATCAAAATAGATATTGATTAAATTAAACTTAATTACTAGTTTAATATAATAATACAAGTAATAATTGTATTATATCTATATATATTTTTTCAAATACATTTATAATAAGTGTATAGAAGAATGGAAATATAAAAGAACCTTATTTTTGTTAGTGGTTGGCGGCCGAAAGAGGAAGGAGAAAATGTGAAGAGAGGTTGACAACGATTAATCTAGAGGAGGGAAGGATGACTCGATTGAAAGAGGGTAGAAAGTAGCAGCCGCCATTGATCAAGTGTATGGGGGGGGATAAGGCAAGGAGGCTTTGGTAATTGCAGAAGGGAGGATTGTTTGCTGCAGAGGGGGGTATCATTGGCTGCAAACGGGAGTTCTGCAATATCTTATGCATGGTGGCCGATAAATAGAGATGGGAGGTGATAAAGCTGTGTTATAGAAAAAGGAAAAAATGATTTTGTTGTAATTTGCGTGAGTGAATCAGAAAGACGGTGAGAAATAAGAAAGAGAATAGCACGATTCACGTGATCTGTGAGGCAAGACCGTTAGGCTGGAGTTGGTTGCAGACGATTTGTCGGCCGACTCTAATAATTAACTCCTTCGTTCAGGCTAATTTTAGTTTTTTTTTAATATGATATTTTATCAATAATCATATTTTTTTGTAAGATTTATTATGATTACATAACAAGATGAGGTTTTTGGCATCAGTCAGGATTAGTTTAGGCCAGATGAAAAATTCCGAAATAAGGATCGTTTGGAGGATCTTATAGGATCATGACTCATTTTGTTTGGTTGACAGCAAGGGTAATCTATTACTCAGTCACTCCAT